ACTTATTAAATTCTTGATAGGACTTTGTCAAAAAAGAAATAATTCAAATATGAAAAAAAATCAAGCAAAAATATAAAGTTAAAATATTAAAAGATTTATTGTTTTATTTTTAAATACCATTTTTCGTATCATAACAAGTTTTGGTCCCATTTTACGTAGAACGCCAAGGAAAGCTAATGATCGTATATACCAAATCTCAAGATCATAAGCAAGAATAATTTTAGCAACTGTTAAATTTTCATCAGTAGATGCATATGTAAAAAGAAGAATAAAACCAATATAAAAAAGTATATATGATGTAATACGAATTAAAGAAATAAATAGATTTTTTATAAAATAATTAGATAATTTTCCAATTATTGATCGATTATCTTGCCAAAAGAACTATAAAAAAAAAATGTATATATATGAAAAAATTCAGGATATGTTTCAAATAATTTACTTGTCGAATATCTTCAAAAAGCATTGTTGTTACAATAATAATCAATAAAACTTCTGTCCAATGTATACGTGAACTACCATTGGTTGAACTTTTAAAATTGAATAATAAATAATAAGAAAAGAGTAATAGAAAAAATATATAACTAGCTGCATTATACGAAAATTTAATAAGTGGTGATTCATGAAATTGTTTTAAATGACGAAAATAATCTAAACATCCTTGCGAACAACTGTCTGATCGCCATGTATATATATCAGAATAATTTATACCATGATCTTTTAATCTAAATACAAGTATTCAAGATTGAAATCATATAATAAACAACGGTCTTATCATCGGTTGGAAATTGGTTAGTGTAAGCTGTATTTGCATTAGCATGCATAAAATTTAGCACATGTACGCCACTAATGTTGTCCTCCTATGAGAAACGAAGGAGAAAAACAAAAACACCTCAATACTTCGGAGTGTTGAAGTCTTGCTTTTTTTTGAGACTACACATATGTGCATACAATACAATTTTGGAATGCCAAAAAGAATGAAACACATTTAGTAAACATAAATGAATACACAGAGAGTTCTTTTCCACAAATAAAACTTCAACATATATGTTTGTTGTATAAGACAAACTTCTGTTACTATTTGGCCATGTATTTGTATCAGAAATACAATTAAAACCAAAGCACATAATGATCATTTGATAATTACTATGGCACATATAAGCATCAGTACTAACAACTATAGGCGAATTTGAAAAAGTGAACTAGATTTTTGAGTGAATATAGTGTGAGTGTAAGATATATCGCAAAATTACAGAACTTGTATGTCCATGCAAAATTATTTTGGTTACAGTTTTCGTCAATGTGATCTGCTTTCATTAGCATAAAAAACTGAAGGAAAATCTATTCATCTTACAGGTACACACTAATAAAAGCTTTTGTGCTATTACAAATATGCTATTCTCATGTATGAGATATGATGACTTGAAAAGATGGTAGAACTTGATTAAGGATACACTAGTGAATAGAAAAAATCTTTACATAGAAGCTTACATATACTCTTTTGTATAGTTAAAAGTCATCGACAAAATTATAGTCGACATTTACTCATGGAAAACAAAACTATCACAATATTCTGGTTGGTTACTATCATAAACGAACATTTACCTTTTTTTTATTCTAGATGATAATGATTTTGTTTCTTGTTCTGTTTCATTAACAGTTATATAATTAGTTCTTTTTCGATTATTATTAAAATCAATAGGAGCTGATTTAACTTCACGAAATGTTATAAAAACTGGTGCTAATAAACCAAATGTACAAATACTTAACAATAATCCAATACGTTGAAGTAATGTGAATTGAATTGGTTCTATTTTATCATGCCAAATATTATTTAAAAGTTGATTACAACATGGTTGACTAACAAAACTTTTATCATCAGCATCTACAGCTACCTTAAAATAAAGAAAATTATGTTTTTTTTTCTTTTATTTTGTTGATTTTAAATTTTACTTGAAGACATGAAACACCACCAAATACATTAATACTTCGTATAGCTATTTCATGTGCTTTTTCTTCATGAAGATAATAAGAACATTTTAAACATTCATTTGCATATTCTTCAAATTGTTCAGCTTGACAATATAAAACACCCTTTGCTTCATTGTCATAAGCACATTTTTTGTATGATTTTAAAATTTTTGATTCTATTAATGCAGCACTTATACGTGTTTGCATATGGCTTAATATAACTTTGGACATTTCAACACGATTTGTTAATATTGACCATAAAAATAAATCACGAAAAACAAGTTCTCGAGCTTCTTTTTGAGTTTCTTCTGGATCAGGTACTTCAGAATCATTGCTATTATAATCTTCATATACAATTGCACGATTATCCGCCATACGAGATCTCGATGAAAATAGTTTTAATCGTTTCCAGAAGTTAGTGACTGAAGGAGTATATATTGGTTTAAAATAATCACCTATTAATTTTCTTAATATTAGATCAAGATCTTCTTCGGAATCAATTGATTTGTTGTTCCGACACTTTTTAAGTAAATAAAGACGTTCTCTCTAGAAATAGAAACAAAAAAAAAGATTTATGTACGACATAAAATAGATTACCGATTCTTGTATTTTAGCTTACATTTTTCTTGCTATCATCATTGTTATATAATCTAAGTAACTGATTCAATCTTAATTTCCATGGTTGATTTATTTGTTTTTCATAAAACATTTGAGTTAAATCAAAATTTAATTTAATAAATGTATTAACAAATTGTGGACAGTCAAGCAAAAGTGCATCGAAAAATAATTTTTCTTTAGTGTCTGACTGGAGAATAAAATATTTTTGAAGAAATCTTTATTAGATTATCTTGTAAACTTACACCAAGATCATTTAAATCATCTTTAATAATATATTCTTTTGCTACATGAATAGCATTCCAAGCCAAAGTCAAATGAAATAAATGTCCTCGATCAACTGGTGTATTTTTTTCTAAACTTTCCTGTTGTTTTGGTATAATAACGAAAAACAAAAATCATATAATAATATGGAATAGAATGCATTTTACCATGTACAATAGCTTTGAAAATAGTATCATCTAAAGATTCGTTACTGTCAAGACTAAATATTCGAATTTTTGATCGAACAGTTGGCTGTAAACAATATAGAAAATATTCTAATAACTTATTGATTTGTTTTGTTGATGAGCTTGATCCTTTAGATATATCTCTCAAACCATCACGTATTTCATTTACATAAGGAAGAAAATTTGTTTTTGATCTCAAAAGACAAAATTGTCAACAAATATATGTCAATATAATAATAAATAAATATTTTACTTTCCAATATTATCTGCTTCTTTCATATGGATTACTTTTTTCCAATCATCACCATTATTATCTTTTTCACTTCGATTAATTATTGATTCCGTACGATTAAGAAAATTAGCAAGAAGATTAGATACTCGACCACTACCCTAATTAGATGAAATCCGATCAAAATATATGGATTCTTATGACATAAATAGAAATGCATACGTCAATTAATACTACCGGTATATTATTAGAAAGATCTTCATAAATTGTTAATAATGTATCTGGACCACCTTCAACGACTATAGTCACAATAGGCACTTAAATAAAATGTTAATAAATAATAAGAAGACGAAAAATTCTGCTACCATGCAAAAAGTACCTAAACTTCGATCCTTTAGTCTTATAGTTTGCCTACAAATAGAGCATTTTGAACACTGATTACATGAACTAAGCAGGATTTTATTAGATTCCATGCGAAGGAACTAGACGATTAGAATAGATTCTTCTTCCAACGAGGATATCGTAATACTTAAAACAAATCTAATTATGTTAGACCGTTCNAGATGATACTATTTTCGAAGCTATTGTAGAAGGTAAAATAAATTCTAATCTCTTAAATTATATAATTATTTTTTATTATAGCAAAACAACAAGAAAGTCTAGAAAAAAATAAATCACGAAAAACAAGTTCTCGAACTTCTTTTTGAGCTTCTTCTGGATCAGGTACTTCAGAATCATCGCCATTATAATCTGCATACCAAACCGTACTATTATCCTCAACACAAGCTCCAATTGAACATCGAAAGCATATTTTTAATCGATCCCAGAAGTCAGTGACAGTACGAGTATATATTGGTTTAAAATAATCACCTATTAATTTTTTTAATAATAGATCCAGATCTTGTTCGGAATCAATTGTTTTGTTGCCACAACATTTTTTAAATAAATACAAACGTTCGTTCTGACGGAAAAAAATATGAAATAGATCGTTATAAAATAGATCATCAATTCTTTTATTTAATCTTACATTCTTCTTGTCATCGTTGTTATATAATCTAAGTAGTTGATTCAATCTTAATTTCCATGGTTGATTAGTTTGTCTTTCATAGAACATATGAGTTAAATCAAAATTTAATTTAATAAATGTATTAACAAATTGTGGGCGATCAAGTAAAAGCGCATCAAAAAATAATTTCTCTTTAGTGTCTGACTAGAAAATAAAATTTTTCCATGCATGTTTATTAGATTATCTTGTAAACTTACACGTAGATCAGTTAAATCATCTTTAATGATATGTACTTTCGCTACGTGAATAGCATTCCAAGCAAGTGCTAAATATAATAATTGTTCTCGATTAACGGCTTTATTTTTTTCTAGACTTTCTTGTTGTTTTGCTATAATAAAAAATAATTATATAATTTAAGAGATTAGAATTTATTTTACCTTCTACAATAGCTTCGAAAATAGTATCATCTAAAGATTCATCACTATCAAGACTAAATATTCGAATTTTAGATCGAACAGCTCGTTGTAAACAGTAAAGAAAATATTTAAATAATTCATCTATCTGTTTGTCTGATGTTTTTGATCCTTTAGATATATTTCTTAAACCATCACGTATTTCATCGGCATAAGAACGAAATTTTGTTGTTAATCTTGAAAAATAATTAGCAACAAATATATATGTCAACGTAATACCAAATAGATATTTTACTTTTCAATATCATCTGGTTCTTCGATATTGATTACTTGTTCCCAATAAATACTATCATTATCTTTTTCACTTCGGCTAATCATTGATTCTGTACGAGTCAGAAAATTAGCAAGAAGATTAGATACTCGACCGCTACCCTATGTAGATAAAATTCGATCAAAATATATAACCATGATATAAATAGAAGTACATACGTTAATCAATACTACTGGTATACCATTAGAAAGATCTTTATAAATTGTTGCTAATGTATCTGGACCACCTTCAACGACTATAGTCACAACAGGAACTTAAAGAAAATATTAATAAATAATGAAAAGTTGAAAATATAGATAGTAGTCGCAAAAAGTCTCACTAGGAGGTTCGGATAGAATTTTCTTCAAACAAGGATATCTCAACATAGAAAAACAAATCTAATGACATGAAACTTCTCGGTCTATAATTCAGTGCAATCTCTATTACCAATAAAAATTCTATGTCAAATAGTTGTAGTTTGTCTGATAGATAAAGTAATCTTTGGGTGATCTTCACATGAAAATTGATGAGCATTATCAAAAGTGAGCAATATCTCAGGCTAGTTTTAACCATTTACCTTGAAATTCTCTTCAGTTAGTGTTTGGCTCTAATCAAGTTTTCCTTGAAAATTTCATGATCGCGATCATCTATAGAGAAGAGATTTATGATGAGACCGTTCCAGATAATGATAGTTTTCTCGCGCTTCTAGATTATAGTGAACTGAAGTATCTCATCGTTGACACAATATACACATGCAAATCTTTATTTGCTAGTAAGAAAATGAAGGATAACGCATTTGAATATTGGAAAAAAAAGATTGAAATTTATTTATTATTTACTTCATAGCTAGACTTTTGCGACTACTGTAAAAGTACCATTTTTCTTATAACGTGAAGCTTCGAGAACAAATTTTGTTCGATAATCTCCAATATCATATCCATAATAAGTTCCATCATCAAGTAATAGAAAATGTGTATGATTAGGTTCAAGATCTTGTTGACCTTTCATACTTTTTGATGTACTTATCATTCTATCTTGAGTGGAATCAGTTGATATTTTTGACTAGAAACAAATATTTAATAATTTACAAACAGAAAAGAAAATTTTCAAACATTTACTGATATGAGTAATGCTCGATTTTTAGTTGCACCCCATTTTGAACAACCAATAGCGGTAATATAACTTCGTGGATGAGTTACTTTATGATCATGAATAGCTTCACCAACAAGTTGTACAACACCCGTTTTAAATCCCGTTGTTACAATCCAACCATCTTTACAACAAATCAAATAGTTTTTATCTTTACGTATTTTCTTTCTTTCTTTTTCTACCTGCTCTCAATGCAGCTTGAATAATACCTTTCATAAATTCTCTTTCAAGTCGTTCATTTAATTTGAAATATTTAGCTCCTCCAATAATACACATTATTAATTGTGGTTCCTTAACTTTCCATACGTCAAACATTAACTTAGCAAGAATACTTGGATGCGTTTTAATATCACATCGAATATAATGTGCACGAGTATTCGGCATATATCCATATGCATTATTGCAAGCCGATCTTGTATGCTCGTTTCGATTCCATTGAAGATCTTTTCCTTCGAAAACATCCCAAGAATGTTCACGACGAAGACGATTGCAACCACATTGAACATCATTTTTATTTTTACTACTAAAATGATGTTTTTCTTTTCATTCAAAATAAAAGACAATAACACCCTTTGATCACATACGTGTCACTAGTTGCTGAAGATTTTGGAATAAATGTAGTGCATGTTCGCCGTTTTATGTTGAGATTATGATGAATTGCTCGAGTCCAATCGTCATCAGATTGTAGTTCAAACTGATTTAAAAAAAAAACATTTTTTATATGATAAAAAAAAAATGAATTCAAAAATTACGAGATTGACTTTCTGTTCGTTGTTTTTCTTTTTATTGGCAATGGGAATACGTGGAAAAGAGTTCGTTGTCATAATCTAAATTAACAAATAAATCTATTCTATGTGAATATTCAGTAAGTTGTTGAAAATATTCAAAACTTCATTTACAAACATACGTCATAGTTGTCAAAATAGAATCGAACTTCGTCACATTGACGCATTCTTTCTCTGTCGAGCAGCCTTCTACTGCTAATAATTATTAAAGAATGGAGCAATAGAAAAAAAAACCGGTCGCACGTTTTTGTAAACAAATCAAACTTTTGTCAAAGATAAATATTACGTATACAAGCACAATAAATATCTTGGTCTGAAAGGTATCACATATCCGGAAAATTGTGGAGGCTGGAGAAGTGTAGGGAGATGCCAAGCTACGTTTAAACCTATGACTCCGTTATAATAGCTAGATGCATAATATCTAAGAATCTTCTGAAGAGATGCCGTATCTCTCACTACATTCAGCCAAGGTTTTACAATCGCAACTATTACTCACAGTTGTTAGATGTGATTTGTCGATATTTTGGTGTGTCTTCGTATTTCCTCTCTCACTCACACTTATAAGATGTGGCTAGATTTCTTTTCTGGTATGTCCGTGTTTCCTATCTCGTCCACAGGTCTGAGGTGTGGATATAGTTGCGTTTTCGTGTGTTCGTAGTTTCTTGGTTATTTTCAAGGAAGTGATATTCTTTGAGATACGACATCTCTTCAGAAGATTCTTAGATATTATGCATCTAGCTATTATGATAGAATTATGTGTTAAAAAGTAGTTTGGCATCTCCCTGCACTTCTCCAACATCCACGATTTTCTGAATATGTGACACTACTGAAAAGTTCTATGCATACTCACGTCAATATAACTGTTGGTAGATTGTGAGGCTGATTTTTAACGATACTATTGTAAGTAAAAACGACTGCATGCATGCACAAAGCATTTCTTCGCTTATATTTATACTTCTGTCAGCAATGACGATGAAAATATGATAAGAGATAAAACGAAGGAGTAAAAAAGCATTGGAAGGAAGAAATAAAACATAGCACATAATAGTTTATCACGCATTCGTGGTCGAGAGTACATGAGTTGTTCTTCTTTCTTTCTACTAGCTCAAATACCAGATGAATCGTCGCAAATAAAATCAGAACATGTGTAGATGTGTGGTAGGGTTGGAGATGGGTCTAAACTTTTGTCAGGCCGCTCGACTCAAACTTTATTTCTTTTCTCAAGGAATATTTTCCATGTAAGAAAAAAAAATCTGATTTTAATCGAGTTTTTGGTTAGAAAAAAAATGATTAAGATGGTACTACTGTAGTTGAATGCGATAAAAATCTGTTTTTTCATAAAAAACTCTTACATGGCAAATATTGAAATTGTTCGACCTTATTCAACTCGTGATCGCTATGATAATAAGCCTTTTACAATGTTTTAATAGATGACTGCAGTGGTTATGCAATTCTATCGGTTAGAAATCCTTTTTGTAAAAAAAAAACAATATACTTTTAATAATACGATTCCTGGTTGAGCCAGGTCATCAAAAGTGACCCCATTTCAAAACCTGATGATTGGGTACGTGTAGATAAATAGAACTTCCATAGCCACATCCACACCCGTTTGAGTCATCTACAGCAGACCAAATACCAAATTCGAGTTCGAAAGCAAGTCAACTTTTTCTAAATTTCACTGGCACTACTTACTGTAGCCAAACGGTCAAAGATAAATTTTATCTCAATTATTAAGTATAATTCAGGTGAAGACTGCTCTGTTAGAATAGGTTGTGGAGTATGAATGTAAGTTTTAGAGAATTTAGGATTCATACGGACACTCAGCCGCCACCGCTTAAAACTTGGAAGGATAATATTTGCTTTAAACGATTTGTCCCGTTTTTATATCCTAACACGTCTTATGAGCACAGAAAAGTGTATCAGGCGTTCTCATGTACAACGGGTTACATAGTATTGCCAGGGTTTATGAAAGAGATCATTAGTATCATAAACGAAAAAAAGGGCTTATAACGATGACAATGAACAGATATGAGAGTTTCTCATTTCATGCTTATTATTATCGGTGTGTATGCGTCGGGGAGCGTATCTCTTCTTTAGCCGCAGTCAAACTGACACTCAAATCCAAAACCCACACCTTATTACAAATAATAACCATTCAAAAAGCATTCCACGGCCATCTTTAAGTAAATTTTCATCGACAAAACATAGAAATCTGTAGATTATGTTTTAACAAAAAGAATGGGTGATATCGAATCTGAATTCAAACCATTAATTCCATGTTATAAACAGAAAACGAAGACTAATGATTCTGACCTGAGTTTGCAAATGAAAGACTTAGTTTCAATCCTAAGAAGTCTTATTTGTAGATATCTAACCGTATAACATAGTCGTATATAAATCATTATTCAAAAAATAATCTATAGTAAGCAGGTTTCCAGCTTTATACAGATCAAATAACATTATAGGTGCGAAAGCCCGTAAAAAATTTATTAACAATAAATTCAATTTTTATGTCATTCAAGACGAATGAGTCATCTTCGACCCACTATGCATCCTCACAGTGAAATGACTTCGTCCAACTTTAATTATAACGCTCTCATCATTATTACTTACATAAACTATTCCCGTGATTAAATCAACACAAGCTTTACAATACGACTGCTAGATGGTAAAAGACTTAGAAAACATTTTGATATTATTCAAATGGATATGCCAAATCAATCTGATTTAGTATCACTTTTTTGTCAACACTAGCTAATCAATATTTTATTGGTGATACTGAATAATCTCAATTAATAATTAAAGATTCAAATAAAATTCCAACATGTGTATTAGTATAAACACCATTAACACTAACAAGAATAAAATTTTAAAGATAAATCAAGTGCGCAAGTATTAACAACTCCATATTTACAGGAACAGTTGAATTAAATGATCGAATGTGAAATATGATTTAAAAATAATAATTCAGTTTTACTCATTTTAGGTTTTCAATGAAATAATTAACTCAATTACTTTCGAAATTCATGTATTAGTTTTTAACACTTGAATGTTCAATGTGACTGAATTTATGAAAAACGTCTTTGTAATGAAATTTATCAACAAAAGATATCAATAATTATATCGCATTGTTGTTGAAAAATATTTTAGCAATATGATTAATGAGTAACAAACTTTACTTATGAAAAAATCAATTCTTTTTTAATGTACAAGTTACAGAGAAAGTTTCTTAACAAATCATCTCAATAGCTTTTATCTTGATTTTCAACCTCCTTCTTGATCACTTCATTTCGACAATCTTTCCCTCGAATCATTGTTTTACTCTAAAATTATCCACATATTCTTGTAAAGAAATATTAATATCATTCTGCTTTATATTTGTTTACTTCAAAAAAATAATCGTTTTTCGTCTTTCCATCTAAACCTAAAGTTAATTTTGACTTTTCAGTAAATATTTACTTGGGTTTTTTCTATTGGTTGTTTTTTGAATTGGTGCATTTCTTTCAATCTTTGAAGTTTGTCAATCGATAAAAGGGTATCATAGATCTGTCTATTATTTGATATTTATAGTGTAGGTGTGGAAAGCATTATGACTAAAGATATTATAATGCTATCTAAACTTTTATTGACTTTATCATAATTGTTCGATCCGTCTTTAATTATTTCAAGAGGATAAATTATTTGTTGAATTCTACCAGTTCCTCTCTGGTCAAAGAATGACGCACCACAGGACAACTTTAATCCCTTTTCACTTCTCATCTTTATTTCAATGTGACGATCCATATCCACACCCTAATCACGCAACACAACACTGCTTTACCAGTCGTTATAGTAATAACTTAAAATTGATATATATTTTTTTATGATGGAATTATCAGTATAGGTTTCTACATCTGTGGTAATCTTTTGATGAACACTAATATTGCGAGAAGTTCAACTCATTACAGTTATTATCTGTTTGTGTGTTGTACTAATATTACGTTACGATCTGCGACTGTTCGATCGTATTAAATCAAGAATTTTAGCGATCTTCATTGTTTGGATATTTTCGCTGGTTTTTATAATGATGATGAAGTACATTATTAAATGGATGTATTAACTATTGATTACTATTGTTCGATAATTTATTTACTTATGTGTCAATGGGAAGATATCAAACTTGAGTGACTCTTTTTTAATTCTTTAGCAAGCATCAACTTGTGTTTCTAGATCTATTATAACATGCATTATTCATAACCTTATGTTTCTTTATTGTTCTAATCCAATCTAAAATTACTTTCTTATGGCTGCTTTCGTTGTCTGACATATAAGTTAGAGAAAATCGCATTTCACTCGACTATTGTAAGAAAAATCTTATCGGATTTATATCATAAATTGATATTGTCCGAGAATTTAATGTTCGTTATACTATTGGTTTCAAGACTATAGCAGGTTGGAATTTACATAGTATTTGAATTCTGTGACTTTTCCATAGAAAAAAGTGTTAATTAACTTCTATATAGAAGTTAGAAATCATTATGCATAGTTTCGAGAACATGAATTATTTGGAGATCATAAAATGTAAATTGAAGACTTCACCAAAAATAGTGATCAATCTATTTTAATTGTTTTTAGTAGACTACAGAATGCTCGGAAAGTTAACTACTAAAAAAAACATTGTATATCTTAATCATACATTAACTAAATGAACTAATTTGTTTCTCGGTCATATAAGAAAAGTTATAAGATTTCATTCATAAACCAATAGCGAATTATTGCAGTTGAAATCTAGGACGATCTTATTTAATACAGAATTTGGTCTTTTTCCTGAGTACTCCTATCAGTTGTCAACCCAAAAATTTATTAATATTTAACAAAAATTTTGACATGCACCATTTTGTACAGTTTTTTTCGTTGAGCATTTTCATTAAAAAAAAATATCTTCTTTCATCAACTAATGACAGTGTTAAGGACAATACACTCACATGTTGAACTGCAACAGTATTTCCATCGAAGAAACGTCAGTTTTGATTCAAAACAGAAACATTCTTTTAAGAATATGATCAGCAGAAGAAACTCTACAAAATAAGATATGTCAAAAAGGTTCAGGGGATACCTGTATGTTATTATGCTAGAGTACCTATGAAAGTATTCTACTAAAAATTAACTTTGGTCGCCAGAGTTTTTCGAAAATTTGTTCTTTCAGAATATCGGAAAAGGTCTTATGTATGATCGGAGAAGTCAGATAGGCGTACTGAAAACTCAAAGATTATAAATAAATCATGTCATAAATAAAGAAAATTTAAGAACATAATGAATTTGAATCATATAATAGAAACCCAATATCTCTCGTTTATCTTTGACAAAAACTAGAAGTTTGTCTCTTTTAAGTTTATTATCATAGTTTTAAACTATGTTACTGGACTTTTTGCTCATGAAAAAAAAACTCTGAATTCTTCTTTATTATCAGCAAAAAATTAGCTTCGAGACACAGTACTTGTTATACTTAAGATTTATGATAAGAAATCTTTTTTTTCTTAAATTAAAAAAGCTTGATTTAGTATAAAACATGCATAAGAAAACATTAATGACAGTATTGGCACATGAATGTGTGTCTTTTTAGCTGTTTGAAGAATCTATACTAGCTTTCAAATCTGACCATAACAAGTGGTTTGTATTTCTTATGTTTTTAAAGAAGAACTTTACCTTTTTTAAATAGTCTTCTTACGTTTTGTTTTCTACTTAGAATTTTCATTTATTAGCTCATAGCAATGAAGAATAATATTTTAGAAATTTGATCGTCTATGAAATATCAAAAAGGACTTGAGTTAAGATAAAACTGTTCAGTAGTTACATATTTAATTTGTTCTGTATATTTAATTGATACAGACAAAGACATGATTCTAAGAACAGTTACATCCTAAACATGAATATAATGGGTGTTCGAAAACTATTGAAATTTGTGTTACATCTATTCTACTCATGATTCTTGTTTGGTTGTTATTTACATGAAATACATTCTCACAACGAACATATGAAGTCATATAATCAAAGAATCGAAGATGGTTGTTTATCTTGAATTTTTCTTAACTTTGTTCAAAAGCCAATTTTTTTTGTTTAGACAATATTAATATGAACTTGTTTCAATTTCGAATAAATCCTTGTTATTAGTTGTAATTATGAATTTGTTTCTTAGCCTCTATAATGCATATTATCAATGTAAATTAGACAAAAGCCTCCTATGTGTTCAACGTTTGGAACATTTGGTAAATTCTTCTGTTTTGGCACAAAGTTGATTTCGGCTTGAAAAAGTCATTGGTGTTATTTTATTCACGTGATACCATTTTACCTGATTCAGTCGAGATAATAAGGAATGTTTAGGTAAACTTTCTTTTCATTCCATGAAACACATCATGCTAATGATTTATGTATATTTCGAGCAAATTTGGCAACATTATATTAACTGAATAAAATAACAACAATGGTTTTTCAACCCGAAATCAGATTTATACCAACACAGTATAATCCATTAAATCTTCAGAAAGCCCAATCTATAGGAGATTTGCATCTAATCCTCTCTGATAAAGTATAAGACAGATATTAAGAAGCAAATAGATAGCTACAACAAAAACGAAGGATTGATTAGAAAATTGAAACAAGTTAACATTAAATTGTCTAAACAATAAAAAAGTGTTTGCGAAAAACAATTATTTTTAAATCAGTTTCAATCAAGTTGCAATCTTATAGCCTATTTATTATTCGATTTTACAGTGTTGCGTATCTTCACCTTCATGAATGTGACCACGGAAAATATTTGTGAATCGATTCATTAATCCATTTTCATTTGATATATACTACATATGTGACGTCAAAGATATTCACAAACATGAAGAAAAGATTAATTACGTCAACTTCTATTATGAAAAAAAACACGAACGTAATCTTTTTCTTAGTCGTCAATCTGATGATATTGTTCATATTGCTGCCAGTTTGGTTAACAAAAATTAAAGAATATATATGGATAGTATTTTAACACGTAATGGGTATACATATTGATCAATGTGGTGGTGGTGGCTCAGCGTACATTCGACGATTGTGACAATTTGATAGTGTTCTTTGTCTACCTTAGCTTGCGATCATTTTTAATATTATCATGCAATATATATATACAAATAATGATTGTCAGTATGCGTAGGTCTACATAGATTTAAACAAAACAATTCGCTGGAAAAAAAATATTGATAGATATGTTTATTCCTTTTTCTTTCAATAAATACTTTAAATATAAAAACGATAAACAGGATGGGCAAAAAGTAAGGAAACTCGGATTTCTTTTCAACTTTTTTTTTTCTTTATAGATCGATAGTTCGTTTTCATATTTAGCCTACATATACTATATTACAATACTCAGAGAAAGAACCTATTATCAGCCTTTAATTTTAATAATTTATCGAAAAACATACAAATATCTTTCATATACTCTTATATGACTGTCCCATAGATTCGCTGTTGTCTTATCAAAGTTGATGTTTTTTTCTCATTTTAGCCCATTTTTGAGTAACTTATTAGATAAAAGTCTGAAACAACGTAACGGTCAATAGAATTTAAATCATTCTGTACGTTTTGATGCAAGCAGAACAAAATATAGAAACATAACACTACAAGAAAACTACAAACTGATGTGACAGTCATATAAGAGTACATGCGAAACATTCGTATGTTTTTCGACAAATCCTTTCACCTAAATGCTGATAATACCGTCTTTCTCTGAGTTTTGTCATCTAGTATATGTGGTGCAAATATGATATCGAACTATGGATCTATAAGGAAAACAAAGTTTAAAAGAAATCCATGTTTCCTTACTTTTTGCCCACCCTGAAAGAATTGTGTATGGATTATTATTTTATTCAGTCTGTTTTGGCTAATAAAATTTTTCTTCATTGTTTCTAAGAAAAGTGTCAACGAAAAATGATTAAAAACTGTATTTTCGATTACTTTGACAAACACAAATTAAATTGTACAAGCATGTGTTATAATTAACCATTGATTATCGTGCGATGCATGTCAAGCTTCATAAGTTGACTTGAATTCAACTTTAGAAGTTTGATACTAGTGAGAACTATCGGTTCTTCCTTTCGTTTTGATTCTTCATAAGTAGTAGTAATGAAGATGCATCAAGCTGAGAAAAACCTAACATTGAAAAATGTATCACAGTTTGGTGCTGACAGAAGCTGAAGCCGAATATGAGTGAATTTGCTCATCACTGGTAGCGAAGCCATTCTTAAAGAAGGTCAACTGATCTTATGAGCTTCATTGTCGTTGGAGTAGACACCGCTGGGCTTGTTTTTACAGTGCGATATCAAAACAAATGCATATAAATAATAGCGTAAGATTTGCCTCATACAAATGCCACCAAAAAATAAGAGTTTGAAACATCAAGAAAGAACCACTGTGGAGTTTTTTCTTTGAAATCAAGAAGAGACTGATGAATATATTTCACTCGAAATTGATAACTTTGAATCGTATTCGCCAAGTTTGTCCGTACAAGTAAAAACTTTACAGTGACACCTATTATTTGAAAAGAAAAAAAAATAGTTGATTAAGTTCGAAAAATAGTGGAGTTATACGAATTTAATGTTTCAGCGGACTTTTGAAACACCCTGTAGTTATAAATTCTGTTAAATAAAGATTTTTTTTTGTTTAGATTATGCTGATAATCGTCGTTCATGAGTAAGCATAGATTTTAATAAATAAATAATATTTCTTTTGCTTAGATGAATCTGAACAGCCGCATCAGTGCGTATAAATTTTTTAAAATATATAATATTTCCTTTTTATTTAGATAAGCCTGAACAACATAGTTAATTGGTAAGCCTAAATTTTATTAAATAGATCCTTTTAATTTAAATTGGAGTCAACAACCTGCTCCAGCGTAAGTATTAATTCTAGTAAGTCAATAGTTTCCTTATTTGTCGTGCAGAAGGACTGGACAGGCAAGGCATGGGAGCAATAGGCTAGTGAAAATGGCAGGAAGAGGCGCAATAGAGCAAGAAATTCAATTTTAAAATGCATTCGAAGATTCTGTAAAAGCATAGATAAATATTAAAAGATCTTACAATCCTGTACGCTCATATAAGATCATCCTATAAGTTTCTATATGACCGTGTAAGAATCTTACAAGATCTTGTAAACCGATTGTTTGGCCTGGGTAGAAACGAACATTTAGTTTCTGTGTGATCTGTGAAGTTTTACAAATTTTATTTTATAGATTTGAATTTGATCCTATAATATTATCAGAAGGCAAGAGTCAATGGTATTCTTCTGGAAGAATCTCACAATGGTATGATGTATCATGTTTGCCTTCCTACTAACCCTTCATCAAGTCTCTCTTTACGAGAGGGTGGGTGTGGGTGTGGGTGTGGGTGTGGGTGTGGGGTGTGGGTGGATGGGTGCGTTCGTGTCCTAGACACCCACCCACACCCACACCCACACCCTGTTTGATGTTGAATCAAATCATGTTAAAGACAAGTGACTACTCCAAGTTTTAAATAAAGACAGGTCTTAATAATATTTAGAAATGCATTTGAGAAGAAGCTAGACTATTATCTAAAAATGTTTTTCTCAAGGTGTACGTGTCAAATGGATTTTTGCTTTTTGAGGAATGATTATTATATAGTGTAGATGAAGGTGGTACACATCCTGTAGAAGTAACACTNTGTCGCTGTTGGTGATCTTAATAATGATAATCATCTAGATATTGTCTCTGCAAACTATGTTTCTAACAGTATCGGTGTTCTTATTGGATTTGGTAATGGCTCGTTTACTGATGTAGTACTGTATTATACTGGTCCCAATACTGGTCCAATGGCACTCACGGTTGGCGATGTTAACAATGACAATCATTTAGATATTGTCGCCAGTTTATACATTCGTTGCACCATAACTGTTTTTCTCGGAAATGGTACCAGAACCTTCGGAAGTTTTTCCATTTATTCTACGGGCAAGCTTTCAGCGCCTTTTGTTGTCATTCTGGCTGATTTTAATAAAGACAATAATCTGGATATAGCCGTTGCTAATGAAAATGCTGGAAATGTCGGTGCTTTTTTCGGAGTTGGAGATGGAACGTTTATGAGACAAGTTACTTTTTCAACTGGACTTGGTACTTTACCATATTTCATTACTGCTGCTGACTTTAATCATGATAATAATACTGATATTTTTGTTACCAATACTGCCAGTAACGAAGTACTCATCTTTTTTGGCGATGGCAACGACCATTTCGAACTCGCAAGGAGATATCCGACAGGTCCAGGTATGGGTCCATATGGTATTGCTGTAGCGGATCTCAACAATGGCAAACAATTGGAGATTGTCGTTACTTATTGGGGTAATGGATAGGTAGCTGTTTTAACCGAATACCATGCGGCAAAGTTTGCTAACACAACTGTGCATTTCACTGGTTCTGCTCCACGTTCATACTCATTAGCTGTTGGTGACTTCAATAATGATAATCGATCAGATATTGTTGTTGCCAATTCAAACTCTAATGATCTAACAATATATTTTACTTCGAATAATGGATCGTTTAGCGCAGAAACTGTGTTTCCAATTGGAATCGATTCTTATTCTCAATATGTTATCACTGGTGATATCAATTCAGACAAACATCTAGACATAATTACTGTTAATTCAAAAAGCAATACTATAAGTATAATCAAGGGAGATGGTAATGGAAATTTTGCAGATCAAATCAATTACTCAACTGGAGATGGTTCACATTCTAATAATGATGGCCAAGTTGATTTTACTATTGCTAATACGGGAACAGATAGTATAGGTGTTTTATTTGGATTTCGTTATGCATCATTTCAAAAACCATCAATATATTCTAATGAGAACAATCAGATGCCAATAAGCATGATCGTTAATGATTTCAATAATGATAATTACATTGACATTGCTTCGTCTTTGCAGTGACTGACAATTTAGCTGTTCTTCTTGGATATAGGAACGGAAGTTTTAGTTCTATGATAACTTGTTCGACTGGAATCGATTCAATCCCAAATATGTTAGCTGCTAATGATTTCAATAATGATGGTCAAATGGATATTGTCGTGGCTAATTTTGAAACTAACAACATAGGCATTTTACTTGGATATAACAATGGAAGTTTTGCCGATATGACAACATATTCAACTGGATTTGAATCACATCCATATTATGTTATTACTGCTGATCTGAATAATGATAATCGAATAGATATTATCTCGGTTAATTTCGGCAGTAATACTATAGGCATTTTTCTCGAAAATAGTAGCGGAAGTTTTACCATGATGATTCCATATTCAACTGGCAATTCTTCTACTCCATATGCTGCTGTCGTTGGGGATATCAATCATGATGGTCGATTAGATATTGTCGTGGCTAATTACGGAACTAATACTATAGGTGTTTTCCTTGGATATGGTGATGGAAACTTTCAAGATCAAGTGACCTATTCCACAGGTTATCAATCCTTCCCAGCATTCGTAGTTATTGGCGATTTCAACCAGGATAATCAATCTGATATTGGTGTTGCTAATTATAATGCTAACGATGTGGGTATTTTTCTTGGATATGGGAATGGGTCTTTCTCTAGTGTTGTGTCATATTCAACTGGAGAAAACTCCTGTCCACAATGTGCTGTTGTTGGTGACTTTAACAATGATAAAATCTTAGATATTGGTGTTGCTAACTATTGCAATAGTGCTGTTGTTGTACTCTTTGGAGTTGGAGACGGTACGTTCCTATTGGGTACTGAGTATTCAGCTGGTATGGGATCTGTGCCATGGTCATTGGCCGCTGCTGATTTTAACAATGATACAAGATTAGATATTGCTGTTAGTGGTACGCTCTTGAATACTATAGTTGTACTTCTTGGATACGAATATGAAATGTTTGCAGATGTAACAAAATATAATACTGGTGATGGATCAATGCCTCAATCAGTTACTGTTGCCAATTTTAATAATGATGGTTGAGAACGTGCTCCAGTTGAATATATCACTCCAATAGCAAACGTTCGATTGCCTGAGCCAAAAAGAATGGCGACATTATCAGTTTGAGAATTGGTAACAACAATNTTTTTGATAGATTAAATTATAATACATATATTTCATTGTTCTTTACTTAAAAAACTTAGTATTTATAGATTATTTATTGTGAGCTTTTTCATGCATTCATACGGAAGATACATTATCTTGTAGTTATCCGTCAGGTGAGAATGAAAAAATGCACTCATTAGTGTGCAAACATTTCGAATTTTTTCTATGTTAACGGCGACAAACTAGATGTGAAGATTACAATTCCTTTTATTGAACATTTATTTATCAAGGATACGCAGTTTTGAATGAAAAGTATGACTTTGAAAGTTTCATAATAGAGTAACTTCGTCGAATGTTAGTATTGTTATGATTTTTAACCGAAGTTATGACTTTCAGCCATAGTTATAATCTTGGACCTTAATTAGAAATAATTGGGCTATAGTCATTAAGTAATACAATTTTCAGCATAGCTCAAGACTTTTCATGAAAACAAACTTAGGATGAAAATCAGGTTGGAGGTAGGGGTGTCGTTTACCATTTACTTTATAATAAATATAAATTATGAGAAATTTATATTTATTATAAATGTAAATTATTTTGTTGCAAAATTTACATTTACAAATAAATGTAAATTTTCCAAATTTACATTTATTTGTAAATATAAATTTGGAAAATTTACATTTATTCGTAAATGTAAATTTTGACAATTTACATTTATTTGTAAATGTAAATTTTACAACAAAATAATTTACATTTATAATAAATATAAATTACTTATCATTTAATTTACGCGTAAATTAAATGAAACGTAAATGTAAATCGACACCCCTAGTTAGAGGTCAAACACGCTATGCTAATTAAAACAGAATTAAGAAATGTGATTGGTGTTGTTACGTGGCAACATCAATCACGTTTCTTAATTCACGTAATGTGTGCAAGGCTTTACAACCGATCAAAAGCGTATGCTTGTAATCGATGTTTGATCCTCTTGTAACCATTATAATCAAAATGAACCGAAAAAATCAAAACTCATCGGTTATCTTGGTTGATTCCAACTACAACAGATAAAAACTTGATGGAAATAAATAATTATAATGGAGGTAATCCAAAGTAAATCGATTAAAGATTTTTTCATTGATCACGAAGAAAAACCAATTAAAATCGATGTTTTCTTGACATTTTAAAATAAATTATAGCGGAAAATAATCAGAAAAAACAATGAAATTTTGTTTCCTTTTCGACTATTTTTTATTATAATCATTTTTTAATTCATATAAATCTGATTATTACCCCAATTATTTTACATAGGTTGAGACTAATTAAAATTCTTAGTCATATTTATGCCATAAATAATGCATGCTCACACCGATATCAACAAACCACCGTCAACTTTACCGTTCTGAATAATTTAGAAGACATTTATCTTCATCTTGAACTTGTAAGGAAACAATGGTTGCATTTTCTCTTCTCTTTCCTTTTGTTACATTGATTTCTTTATTTTTGTGTTTCTCTCCTAACATGTGTCGATATAATAATGAGGAAGAACGACAACAATAGAACAATTCATGGACTGATAAAAGTAGTGATCAATGCGTAAGAATGAACTGACGAGGAAACGTTCCGAGATGTTAAATCGCTTTGGGGTCGAGTATGTGCTGAAAACAACAGATCTCACTGAGTTATTAAATTCTCTAGAATGGTTTGGTTATCCAGCCTTCTGTTGTCGAATTATGAACTTTTCACTCGATTTTGGCCTATGGGCATAGCTTCTTCGGGCAACCTGAATGATTGAATTTCGAACTGAAATTTTCTCCTTAAATAGGTCTTATAAGCACTAGAAAGTCCCCAAAATTTGAGCCAGAACAAACGTATCTTTATCGAGATATTCACATTTAAAAAAACGCCTGTTTTGGACTGTGTTGCAAAATAGGGATATTTTCATGACAAGTTGATATCTTGATAAAGATACGTCCGTTCTGGCTCAAACTTTGGAGAGTTTCTAGTGCTTAAAAGAGCTATTTATGGAGAAAATTTCAGTTCGAAATTCAACCATTCAGATTCCCAGAAGAAGCTCTGCGCACAGGCCAAAATCGAGTAAAAGGTCCATAACTCGACAACAGAAGGCTGGAAAACCAAACCATTCTAGAACATTTAATAATTCAATGAGGTCTATTGTTTGCGCACATACTCGGGCCAAAAGCGATTTAACACCTGAGGACGTTCCCTCTTGAGTTAGATGAAGCAATTAGACGTTAGTGGCGCCTCGGAGGGGCCCCGACGAACGACTAGTCGATGATATTATAAGTATACTGCAGATTCTCTTCAGAAAATATTTGTGTAAAAGTCAGATGTTTTTGAGAATACTGCACTAAGATTTCATTAATCAGGAATTCCGATAAAGCTCTGATTTTTCAGATGGGCAATGAAATTGAAGAAATAAGGAATAGTTCACAACAAAGTTTCTGTTTGGAATTTCCCGTCAAGAATTTTTATATTACAAAGCTAACAATTTTTCCAAGTGCAGTCTGAATCAGGTAGGATGTAAATAAAAGTGGATGACCTTATGGGGTAATAGTAATAAACATGTCAGCAGCTAGCCGCTAGTGATGCCCCACAGGGGACGTCGACGAGCGACTAGCTGCTGTCCAGGAAAATCCTATGAAGAAACACTTGAGACTGGTGGGATCCATCGGATAAATGTCAACGATCTGGATCCAATGGGTTTCAATAGGGACTAGAAGTGGCAAAGAACTGAGAAATACGTATTTTCAAATAAGGAATTAAAACAGTTTTTCTGCCCGTGTACAATTTTGGATATCAGTTTGATTAGATGAATATATGATAAAAATCACCACATGGACATGCATACCATTGTCCGGAACGAATTTTGACGCTAATACCAACATTCACCCGCTCACCATTTTTCAAACGTAGGATACCAGCTTTGTTGAGGGCCATAAAGTAGTATATAATACCGAAAGAGTCGAATATTCAGTCGAGAGTCAAGCGAGTCACACGGACAAGCGTTACTTGTTCTTACAGGTTTTGTAAAGCTTTTCATGAGGCGTCTTTTGAAAGAAAAGCCAAGTTTTTATCATTTGTCTTTGGAGAGATATTCGCAAAACAAACTGTTTTGAAAATTTTTTGGAACACTCGATATTTTAAAATATTTTATATTTTAAACATCATACCGCTATTTCTCAATGAAATTCAACATGGTTTTTTATTGAAATAATTAGCGGAAAAAGTCCTACAAAATATGATAAAATGACAAATTTTCTGATTAATTTGTGCTTTTTGTGAACTGACCATGTAAGTGTCGTGTAACAACAATATCATTTTGCCGTTTTCAATGTCATTGTTTTTTTTTGTGCTGAAGTTTGGTTTTTTTTATTGTCTTTCATTTTCAAGAGTTTTTCGAATTCAACAGGTGTACATACATACATATATATATATATATATATATATAGTACTCGATCTCTGATATCCAAACATGCAATTGAATTAAATTAAAGTTCTGTAGTTTTAATATACGACTAAACAAAAAAGTGTGACCGGAGTTTTGTCCCACACCGTAATTAGATTGCCAACTTATTGATCAATATTTAAATTCTCTTATTCTTTAAGCTAAAGTGATTTTTCAGAAAACAAGTATTGTCATTGAGAATTCCGAGTGAAACAATATTTGTTTATATTAGATTTCTTTTTTATAGATTGAAAAATGAATTTCATCGATTGTGAGCGAACAACGATTGAACGATCTTCTGATGATGCACATCGTCAGCGTACAACAAGCATAATTCCAATGTTATTGGAGGGAGACCTAAATTCTAAGAGGAATAGCGATTTGGATCAAGTGGATGAACCTGCTGAAGCACCGTATGGTTTTTTTTTTAATAATATTTATTTAATTGATATTTATTATTCATAGGAAAAGCTTTTCATTGTCTACTTTAATCTTTGTTATATTTACGATCATTGTAATCATTGTTGCAACATTAATAATTACTTTGACTTTACGAAAACCAAGTATGTTATTTATTTTGTTTTTTGTGGAACTCACATATATTTTCGAAGAAAATAGTGGGTGTAAGTTTTAAATCGAGTTTTTGCGGCTCCCCTCCCCCTCATTCCCTAAGCCCTAGCAACCAGATGGCAGGAAATCGCAGGCTCATTGGATACCTTTTCATGGCAAGCGTTGCCCCTCCTTCATTACAGACACCTCACCATTACGTAGAGCGTGAGTGTGGATGCGAGGAGATCGGATGTGGACGGGGTGAGCGTGGATGTGCGGATTTTCAATTCTCTCACACCAATACCCACCCACACTCACATCCCAAAGCCACTCCAGCATCCATACTCACACCCACCCACCCACACCTTCTTTTATATTGAATATGATTTACAGCTTGAAGCGAGACTTAATTAAAATACATTATATAAAAAATTGTTTCTCCTTTGGAGTAATGCAGAAAGTTTTTAACGTAAATGAAGTTATCTATAGATTCGAGTATTTTTTTCTGGGACTCACATGGGTACTTGTTCGAAAGTTTCTATGTTTGTTCCAAGTACAACTCGACAAGCTCTATCTAACGATGTGCTCAAACTTTTGGTAGCTCAAATTATGATTTCCGCATTCTTAATGGCGCCATCTATTAGATAAAAATCATACTTTGGACTGCTCAAGATTTGTGCATATCATTATATAGAACTCGTCGAGTTGTACTTGGAACAAATACTACAGCAAATTCCAGCCAGAATTACTTCAATGGGATGTGAGAATTCTAATGGGAAAATACCAGTGTTTTGAAATTTTTGGGGTCGTAGTTTCACCTATGAAAAATCTGATTGAACCAGTGGGTAGAGCTGATCGAGTTCTACTTGGAACAAGTATAGCTGTTTTGAAACAAGTTCCCAGACGAATCCAAGAAAAAATACTCGAATCTATAGATAATTTCATTTACGTAAGTTTTTACAGAAGTTCACAAATGATCAACAAAATTGCTTTTAATTGATTTATGGTAGATATTATATGTGAAATGACATTTAAACCATTTGCCAAAAGTTCGATAGTTCATAGCTCGAATCCACGATCTATCGCTGTTGGTGACTTGAATAATGACAATAAAGTAGATATGGCTGTGGCGAATTTTGGTACAGATACTATTGGAATATTTCTTTCAAATGGCGATCAAACTTTTTCAAACGAACAGACATATTCAACTGGATTTGGATCTCGTCCATCTTCGATTGTTATCAATGACTTCAACAATGATAACTGTTTAGATATAGTGGTCGCTAATTCTGGTACTAACAATATCGGTCTATTTATTGGATATCATAATGGAACATTTCATCATCAAACAATATTTTCAACCGGTTCTTTTCGTCCATGGTTCATCGCTACCGATGATTTTAATCAAGACTATCAACTGGATATAGCTATTGTCTACTATAATACTGATAATATTGGTATTCTTATTGGAAATCATAATGGATCTTTTCAAAGTCCAATCACTTATTCTACTGGTTATGATTCTTTTCCACATTCGTTAGCAATAGGAGATTTCGACAAAGATAATCAATTAGATATTGCAGTCGCCAATTATGACACTAATAATATTCATATCTTTAGGGGATATTTTAATGGGATATTTGCAAGTGAAAAAAGTTATACAATTGATGGTAACTCAAATCCATCTTCCGTCGTTCTTGCAGATTTGAACAATGACCATCAATTAGATATGATTGTGGCCAACCATGGTACTGGAAATTTAGGCATATTTCTTGGTCAACATAATGGAACTTTTGCAAAGCAAATAACATATTTAATTGGTTCGAAATCGCGTCCACAATTTCTAAGTGTTGGTTATTTCGATAAAAATAATTATCTGGATGTTATTGTTGTTGATTCAGAAAATGATCAAATACATGTTCTTCTAGGTTGTGGAAACGGAACCTTTTGTACATTAACTACATATGATTTGATCAGTGGATCTAGTCCAATGATGGCCGCTATCACTGATTTTAATAATGATAATCAATCAGATATTGCTATTGCCAACTATGGCACTAATTATATAATTGTAGCCATTGGATATTTCATTGAACCATCTGTACGACAAGTAACCTATTTCGTTGGACGTGATTCTCGTCCATCTGCAGTTGTCATACACGATTTCAACAATGATGGTAAACTAGACTTAGCCATTGACAATTTTAACGATAACTATATACTTATTCTAAATGGTGACAATAATGGAACATTCGTTGAAGGAGGACAATATTCGACTGGCACTGGATCTTCTCCACAATATCAATGTCTTGCTGACTTGAATAACGATAATCGAATGGACATAATTATCGCTAATGTAGGTAGTGACTCTGCAGGCGTCCTTCTTGGACAAGATAATGGAACTTTTGCTAATATAACAACATACTCTACTGGTGTTGGTTCCGGTCCATGGTTCGTCGCTGTTGGTGATCTTAATAACGATAATCATCCAGATATTGTCTCTGCGAATTATAACTCTGACAATATCGGTGTTCTTATTGGATTTGGCAATGGATCGTTAGCTGATGTGGTGCTGTATTCTACTGGTATCAATTCTAATCCAATATCGGTCACTGTCGGTGATGTCAACAATGACAATCAATTAGATATTGTCGTCAGTTTATACTTTGCTTGCAGCGTAGCTGTTTTTCCCGGAAACGGTACCGGAACCTTCGGAATGTTTGCAACTTATTCTACGGGTAAGCTTTCATATCCTTTCGTTGTCGTTCTTGCTGATTTCAATAGAGACAATTATCAAGATATAGCCGTTGCTAACCAAAATACTGGAAATGTAGGTGTTTTTCTTGGAATTGGGGATGGCACTTTTATGAATCAAGTTACTTTTTCAACAGGACTTGGCACTCTACCATATTTCATTACTCTTGCTGACTTTAATCATGACACTTATATTGATATTGCTGCCACCAATACTGGCAGTAACGAAGTAATAATCTTTTTCGGCAATGGTAATGGGGATTTCGAACTTGCAAGAAGATATTCGACTGGCTCAGGTTCAGGTCCATATGGTATCGCCGTTGCAGATCTCAACAATGACAAACAGTTAGAAATTGTCGTCACTTATTGGGGCAATGGATATGTAGCTGTTTTAACTGAATATAATGCTGCAAAGTTTGTTAACCAAACTGCATATTTAACTGGCTCTGCTCCTCATCCATACTCATTAGCCGTTGGTGATTTCAATAATGACAATCGATCAGATATCGTTGTTGCCAATTCGGACACTAATGATCTAACTATATATTTTGCTTCGAATAATGGATCGTTTGGCGCACAAACAGTGCTTCCAATTGGAATTGATTCTTATCCTCAACATGTCATCATCAGTGATATCAATACAGACAAACACTTAGACATAATCACTGTTAATTCAAAAAGCAATACTATGAGTATAATCATGGGAGATGGGAATGGCAATTTTACAGGTCAAATCAAATATTCAACTGGAGATAGTTCACATCCATATGACATAGCTATGAGTGATTTTAATAATGATGACCGAGTCGATTTTGTCATTGCTAATGAAGGAACAGATAGTATAGGCGTATTATTTGGATTTCGTTATGCATCATTTCAAAATCTAACGATGTATTCCAATGACAACAATCAGATGCCAATGGCCATTATCGTTAATGATTTCAATAATGATAATTATATTGATATTGCTGCTGTCTTTGCAGTGACTGACAATTTAGCTGTTCTTCTTGGATACGGAAATGGAAGCTTTGGTCCAATGAAAGCTTATTCGACTGGAATTGATTCAACGCCATACATGTTAGCTGCTAATGATTTCAATAATGATGACCAAATGGATATTGTCGTGGCTAATTATGGAACTAACAATTTAGGTATTTTACTTGGATATAACAATGGAAGTTTTGCCACTATGACAACATATTCAACTGGATTTCAATCGACTCCATACTACGTTACTGCTGCCGATCTTAATAATGATAATCAAACAGATATTATTTCGGTTAATACTGGCAGTGACAGTATAGGCATTTTTCTTGGATACGGTAATGGAAGTTTTGCTGTAATGATCACATATTCAACTGGAGATTCTTCTATTCCATGGGCAGCCGCCGTTGGTTATATCAACAATGATGGTCGATTAGATATTGTCGTGGTTAATTATGGAACTAACAGTGTGGGTATTTTTCTTGGATACGGCGACGGCAGTTTTCAAAATCACGTGACCTATTCAACAGGTTATCAATCTTACCCGACATCGGTAGTTATTGGTGATTTCAACCATGACAACCAGTCTGATATTGGTGTTGCTAATTTTAATGCTAACAATGTGGGTATTTTTCTTGGATATGGAAACGGATCTTTTTCTACTGTTGTGCCGTATTCAACTGGAGATAGTTCCTCTCCACAATATGCTGTCGTCGGTGATTTTAACAATGATAAAATCTTAGATATTGCTGTTGCTAATTATGGCACTAGTGACGTTGCTGTACTCTTTGGGTTTGGGGACGGTACTTTTTTATTGGGTACTGCATATTCAACTGGTATGGGATCCGTACCATGGTCATTAGCTGTTGCTGATTTCAACAATGATACACGATTAGATATCGCTGCTACCGGTACTCTCTTGAATAGTATAGTTGTACTTCTTGGATACGGATATGAAACTTTTGCGGGTGTAACAAAATATAATACTGGTGACGGATCAATGCCTCACTCAGTTGCTGTTGCTGATTTCAACAATGATGGTTGGTCAGATGTTATTGTGGCTAATTATGGTACTGATAGTGTTGGTCTTTTTCTTGGATATGGTGCTAAAGGTTTTGATAGCATGGTAACATTTTCAACGGGAATTAATTCAGCTCCTTATTGTCTTGCTATTGGTCATTTCAACAATGATAATCATTTAGATATTGTTGTTACCAATTCTCAAACTGATAATGTCGTTATTCTTTTTGGTTTTGGTAATGGAACGTTTAGTATTGGAGTGATATATTCAACCGGAGCACGATCTCAGCCATCCGCAGTAGCTGTAGGGGATTTGAACAATGATAACATATCGGATATCGTCATTGCAAACTTTGGCACCAACTTTATACTTATTCTTTATGGATACGGAAACGGAACTTTTGGAAACGATACATTGTATCAATTAGGCTATGAATATCGTCCTACTTCGGTTGTTCTTGCAGATCTGAATAATAACAATTGGATGGACATTGCCATAGCATGTTATAACACTGGTCACCTAGAAATTCTAATGAAGATGTGCTAGCTTAGGCCTCTGTCAGTATTCATTTCATTTATTCTTTTCTTTTTTCATATCTACCTTATGTTTTTATATAATATATCTATCTACAATTTAGTTTCTCGTGATCATATCATACTAATCATAGAGTAACTAAACATATGTTTTACAAAATTTTTTAGCACATTCGAAGGAGTAAATCAGAATTTCATCTACATCAGAAGAAATATTATTGATACTATTATTTTGGATCACTGTAAATGCTTTAGATAAATATGGCACACACTTGCTCACGATCAAGTCGCAGTTTCACTTAGTCACTGTGACAAACTAGAGAGTATTCAATATTGGACTATTTTAGAGAGCTTGTTTTTGTACATGTGAAACTAAGAAAAAGAATGCAAAAACTTATTTTCTTTCATAGTTTTCATTTATGTATCGCATCATTCAATTTCCATTAGAATTTCTTACGTAATGTAGATAAAATTAATAAACATCGTCCTCTCTGAAGGATAAATATAACAAGCGGGTGTGTGTGGATGTGGTTGTGTGATGGGTATGTGGGTATGGATGTGGGTGGGGCTGCTGAGTATGGGTGTCGGTGTGGGTATAGTGTGGTTTTGGATGTAGGTGCCAGTTAAAAGAAAGTCAACACCCTCATCGATACCGACGCCCACCCTCACAAAAAGGGAAAAGCGCGGAATCTTGGAATCTTGGATTTCTCTGAATTCCAAGAATTCTCTGGGAGGGTAGATATGGGTGTGAGTGGATGTGAATGTGAGTGTAGTGGGTGTGAGATGTGAATGGTAAGAAAAGTAACAATCACACTCACACCCTGTATGCTCTAATCATCTCCAAAAAAGTCATTTCGTTAACATGGTAGACATTCGTTTACATGAATCATTAAGACAAAATCTTAATCAAGAGTCCTTGTCTATTGCTCCACTATTAGTGCCGTTCGACTCACAAGAACTGAAAACATAGATATTTGCGTGAATTTGGTATCACTCCTTGCCAAGAAAGGATTCCTCAAATGACTAGACATGTCTTCAGACACTTTCATTCAGTTTTCTTAAGACAAAAGAAAATTATCTAAAATTTTGTATGCATGTAGGGCAGATATCCCGCATTAGAATACACGTGCGAAATAAAAAAATCCATCCTGTGCTCATTGAGCTCGGGCACTTTGTTTCAAAGGTAGCGTCTGCAAATACTTGATTCAATCGCTGACCAGATCGAATCTGATGTAGTTTGACGTCCCATAACAGCGGTTGTATGCCGGTGAATATCGCAGATCCATAGGTATAAGTGTCATGAAAATATCTAAGAAAGAGTGAAATTCATTTAAGCCTGGCGCCCTACAATAGTATTGTTAATTGTACAGTAACTGAAGCAAGTTGTTAATGACGAACGACAGTTGATGTTTATCATTTAAACTTGTATTACATTGTTGTAAAGAACAATGTAATGTTCTTTGCCATGCCGAATGAGGTGGCGAAGACAATGTAAATTCAATAGTATCATTATTTTCATTACAATAATAATTAATTGCTACTGTAGTTTGATCTCAGTATATTTTACACTATGAAATAATAAAATAAGTAGAAAACAAAATTAAAAAACCTTGTACACATAAAAAAAGACGTTGAAAAAACAGAGCTATTACAATATTGTATGGTCTCTATGTAATGAATGGGCGAAAGAAGTGTTCAAAATGAATTCCTTGTTACTCTGATCTCTAATAAAATACCGTCGGACTTTGCCTTTCAAGCTGAAGAAAATAAAAGTTTTTCTTTCAATTTTTATTGATTTCCTTACAAAAAAGCAAACAGGCATTTCAATAATGTTAACAAAAGCTTCATAAGAAGTTGAATCAGTATAGAACTGATTAAATCATGTCGTCATTCTTTTCACACGTTCATCGAGTCACTTGCATCTGCTTTGCTTTCTTCGTTGAAGTAGACTTCTTTTTACTACGTCTTTGTTTTTCTTACAATAGATTCTCGTTGCAAGAAAAACTCGACTATTTCGNACAATGATAACATATCGGATATCGTCATTGCAAACTTTGGCACCAACTTTATACTTATTCTTTATGGATACGGAAACGGAACTTTTGGAAACGATACATTGTATCAATTAGGCTATGATTATCGTCCTACTTCGGTTGTTCTTACAGATTTGAATAATGACAATTGGATGGACATTGCCATAGCATGTTATAACACTGGTCACCTAGAAATTCTAATGAAGATGTGCTAGCTTAGGCATCTGTCAGTGTTCATTTCATTTATTCTTTTCTTTTTTCATATCTACCTTATGTTTTTATATAATATATCTATCTACAATTTAGTTTCTAGTGATCATATCATACTAATCATAGAGTAACTAAACATATGTTTTACAAAATTTTTTAGCACATTCGAAGGAGTAAATCAGAATTTCATCTACATCAGAAGAAATATAATTGATACTATTATTTTGGATCACTGTAAATGCTTTAGATAAAAATGGCACACACTTGCTCACGATCAAGTCGCAGTTTCACTTAGTCACTGTGACAAACTAGAGAGTATTCAATATTGGACTATTGTAGAGAGCTTGTTTTTGTACATGTGAAACTAAGAAAAAGAATGCAAAAACTTATTTTCTTTCATAGTTTTCATTTATGTGTCGCATCATTCAATTCCCATTAGAATTTCTTACGTAATGTAGATAAAATTAATAAACATCGTCCTCTCTGAAGGATAAATATAAAAAGCGGGTGTGTGTGGATGTGGTTGTGTGATGGGTATGTGGGTATGGATGTGGGTGGGGCTGCTGAGTGTGGGTGTCGGTGTGGGTATAGTGTGGTTTTGGATGTAGGTGTCAGTTAAAAGAAAGTCAAAATCCTCATCGACACCGACGCCCACACTCACAAAAAGGGAAAAGCGCGGAATCCTGGAATCTTGGATTTCTCTGAATTCCAAGAATTCTCTGGGAGGGTAGATATGGATGTGAGTGTGAATATAGTGGGATGTGAGTGGATGTGAATGTGAGTGTAGTGGGTGTGAGATGTGAATGGTAAGAAAAGTAACAATCACACTCACACCCTGTATGCTCTAATCATCTCCAAAAAAGTCATTCCGTTAACATGGTAGACATTCGTTTACATGAATCATTAAGACAAAATCTTAATCAAGAGTCCTTGTCTATTGCTCCACTATTAGTGCCGTTCGACTCGCAAGAACTGAAAACATAGATATTTACGTGAATTTGGTATCACTCCTTGCCAAGAAAGGATTCCTCAAATGACTAGACATGTCTTCAGACACTTTCATTCAGTTTTCTTAAGACAAAAGAAAATTATCTAAAATTTTGTATGCATGTAGGGCAGATATCCCGCATTAGAATACACGTGCGAAATAAAAAAATCCATCCTGTGCTCATTGAGCTCGGGCACTTTGTTTCAAAGGTAGCGTCTGCAAATACTTGATTCAATCGCTGACCAGATCGAATCTGATGTAGTTTGACGTCCCATAACAGCGGTTGTATGCTGGTGAATATCGCAGATCCATAGGTATAAGTGTCATGAAAATATCTAAGAAAGAGTGAAATTCATTGAAGCCTGGCGCCCTACAATAGTATTGTTAATTGTACAGTAACTGAAGCAAGTTGTTAATGACGAACGACAGTTGATGTTTATCATTTGAACTTGTATTACATTGTTGTAAAGAACAATGTAATGTTCTTTGCCATGCCGAATGAGGCGGCGAAGACAATGTAAATTCAATAGTATCATTATTTTCATTACAATAATAATTAATTGCTACTGTAGTTTGATCTCAATATATTTGACACTATGAAATAATAAAATAAGTAGAAAACAAAATTAAAAAAACCTTGTACACATAAAAAAAGACGTTGAAAAAAACAGAGCTATTACAATATCGCATGGTCTCTATGTAATGAATGGGCGAAAGAAGTGTTCAAAATGAATTCCTTGTTACTCTGATCTCTAATAAAATACCGTCTGACTTTGCCTTTCAAGCTGAAGAAAATAAAAGTTTTTCTTTCAATTTTTATTTATTTCCTTACAATAAAGCAAACAGGCATTTCAATAATGTTAACAAAAGCTTCATAAGAAGTTGAATCAGTATAGAACTGATTAAATCATGTCGTCATTCTTTTCACACGTTCATCGAGTCACTTGCATCTGTTTTGCTTTCTTCGTTGAAGTAGACTTCTTTTTACTACGTCTTTGTTTTTCTTACAATAGATTCTCGTTGCAAGAAAAACTCGACTATTTCGAAATCATTTTTACTATGCAAATTCAATAAAGCGAAGGTAGAAATACTGAATTATTTTAAATAGTTTTTACCATTGTCCGATCGTATAAAAGATAGTTGAGTTTTTTTTTTGTTGCGTTTATATATATTTTTCTAGGAAATAGTGAGTGTAAGTTTAAGTCGGGGGTTTTGCGGCTACCTACGTAGGCCATAGATACCTAGGGCAAGAGAATGAAAATCAAATATTATGAAAATGTGGATGTGAGTTTCGGTTTACATAAAGAGAAATTCCACGTTCACATCTATCCTGTCTACAGACTGTAATCTTAT